CACAGATTTGTTTAATTTATTAGACCAATATGTCTGAAGCCTGGTTTATTTTATTGTGCCTTTCTGGCGTGTGAATCACTGTATACTGTCTGTGCGCCAAGATTAATAATCAATAAACAATAGACAAACAAAGGAATAAACCCCACTAAAACTCCAATGTTCAAACCAAAACTTCTCCTTTTGCCATGAGTAAATAATGACAGAATTTCCATTTTTGGCTGAACTAACCCTTTAACAGTTATTGTAGGAACACGGCTTTCCAATATTTCGGCAGTGCTTTGGGTTATTTGTAGAATAAAGCCACATGCTAGCCTCAGCTGTACTCCGAACAAAGCTGTTATCACAGCCTAAGGTAGCTTTTCAGTGGCTTTTCAGACCTTGATGTTTATTACAAGCCATTATCTCTCATCAATTCTTGGGCATCTTTACATTTCCTTGCTCTGAACATAATATGTGAACCTTTGTTTCTAAAACTGACTTAAACCACACAATTTCCTCCACTGGGCTGATCTTGTTATAAGTTTAAGGTCTGCTCATAGAAGCTCTATATACAGCATATGACAGGAAGATGAGGAACCCAGGAGAAAGGGTTTCTTTTGTGTCTTTTTCTTCTACAAAGTCCTTAATAATGATGGGTCTGCATGCAGCAGGTGCATGTGGATGTGGGAAGCAGGAATCGTCGTTTGACATTCTCCAAATGTATCTTTCCTGAAAGTGGGGGAAATGTGCCTCAAATATCCCTCATCATTGTTGATTAGTCTAATGATCCTGTCAGCTTGTTGGAGAGCGAGGCCAGATTACCTTTCAGCTATTTTGATACGCTTTGTGTGTGTGTGTGGTGCGAGATGTTCCTGTGAGGCACATTAGAACTTGCCTGTGGCCTGGGTAAGAGAAGGGAAAATTTCTTTCCTCCGGGGGTCTGCACTCATCGCCTCCCATAAAGCTCACTTAGACCAACGCTAATGCACATAGGTGGAGGGCAGTACTCAGAACAGAACTAAAGGTAGGAGTTGCACTTTTATGCGGATGAAATTTTTTCCGCTAAACATCCTGGACCATTACATGGTCTATTTCAGTTCTCTCTTACCCCAGTAGACCCAGTAATGAGTGTTGGCTTTTATGATTATACTTGAGACATTTGAGTTGGATCTGGTTGACCTTTCAAATCCCATAATCTTCATTTATTTCATAGACTGGCTATTTTATTGCTCCGCTCATCTTGCCCTCATGGAACTCCATTTGGCCTCTGTGTATTCGGTCGATCTGTCCTAGCTTGGCTTTAGGGGAAGCTCAGGTCCCCGCTGTTGTCACAAATGATATGTCAGAAGCACAACGAAGCCATTCGTAGGAACCATGCTGGGTCTGTATAATTTAACACGTAGCACTCAGCACTGGGCTGGTGCCAAAATGCTCAACTGCAGATCTCATCTAATCGTATTCTACTTCACACAGCACCATGCAGTCCTTCATAATTGCCTCTTTGAAAAGGTGTTTTGTTGGGTATGATTAGTCATACCACATAAGAGCGCAGACGCTCCTGGTTTTGTATAGGATTGACTGCATTTGGGTGAATCTCATAAAAGTTCAGCCCATTCTCACCCCCAAGGCGTCACTTAACTGACGCCTTGGGAAGAATTTGGACATGCTTCAATATCTGACGCTTTAGGCACCCTTTAGCGTCAGTTAGATGACGCCCTAGGATCGCGTGTACACTACCCCCACCCCACACCTAAACCTAACCGCGTCCTCTAACTGACGCTTTCCTTTAGCGTCAGTTAGATGACGCCGTAGGATCGCCTAAAACGTCAAATATTGAAGCATGGTCAAAGGTGACGCCTTGGGGTGAGAATGCGTTGAAAAGTTTTGGTGATATGTTTGCATTATGACAAATTAGCAGCCCTTAAATATAGTATTAGAGCAATGAATCATCACTGAGAGAATAATGTGAGGTGCTATGATTTAAAAATAATGTAGTAAAAAGCAGAACATGTTTTCCATTTTCTTTTTGAATCTCACTTGACTGACAATTTTGCTATAATAAACAAATGCCATCTGTCAGTAGATGTTATCAGTTAAGGTGAGACATTTAGTTGCATTTGATGTTGTGATTTCACTGGACCAGAGAGCGTTCTGAAATGAAGTGTGCATCTGTGAACAGCTGTGTGCGGGTACAGCGCTCCATGCAGAACACTGCCAGCCTGCCTATGAGCGAGTCTGCCACTGACTAAGGAGAATACCTAATGTAACCACCGTTAAAGATTTTTGAAAAGAGAAGGGATTGGTAAGGGTTCTAAGTGAAATAACCTCAGATAGCTCGCTGCAGCTGTTTGGTTCAGGCAAAGTGAAGAGAGATCACATAATCGCAGATACTTAAGAGTGTTGATGGCTATAATCACTGCTTTTTAAGGGTGTATTGCGATGAAAGACACAAAAATAGGGTTTAACAATGCATACTCCCCACCGTTTTCTGTCTCCAATGTCTTTGTCACCATGAAGTAAAATTTAGCACATATACAGTATGTATTTTTTACAGTAATTGTACATAATTATTATATAGGGTCCATAGTTGTATAAAAAATAATTAGGCCTACTCCAGTCGTCAGTGTCACATGATCTTTAAAAAATCACCCTAATATGCTGATTTGGTGCTCAATTATAAATAATGTTTTTATTTTATCAATGTTCAAAACCATTTTTGCTGCCTAATATTTTTCAAAAGTAGGACGAATAAATTACATTTTAAAACATTTTCCAATTGACATCTTTAAATATTATAGCCTATTTATATACATATTACACAGTATTACGGCTTTCATTGTATTTGATCAAATATGTATATGTATATGTATATGTATGTGTGTGTGTGTGTGTGTGTGTGTGTGTGTGTGTGTTATTTTTATGTACACTGCAACAGTATGCACAAATCTATACTGTAAATTTGATTAAATTTAAGTCATAGCCTGCATAGTTAAAGATGCATTATGTAAATTGTTTTGTGAAGAAGTGACAATTACTGGCTAATTTAACTTTTGGTATGTTAACTTTTGGCTCTGGATTAATTTACATCATACACTAAGACGACTTTATTATGTTGTGTGTGACTTTCGGTTTTTTTGATGGTGAGAAAAATTCTCAGTCTTTCACTAACTGCAAATTCAGAGTAGTTAAACCGCACCGTCGAGTACTGTGAGATGCTACAAATAAAAACTGGTTGGCCACCACCTTAACCCACCAGGCGCTTTATTATGAAACGATCTCTGTGTGTGACTTTCGATTTATGCTGAGAAAAAATGCTCAGTCGTTCACTAATTGCAAATTCAGAGTAATTAAACCGCACAGAGTACTGTGAGATGCCTTATGGATAGACACTGGTTGGCCACCACCTTAGCTACCCGTAGCATAGCCATGCGCTTTTTAATGAAACGATCTCTGTCCGTGACTTTCGGTTGATGGTGAGAAAAATGCTCAGTCGTTAACTAATTGCAACTTAAGAGTAATTAAACCGGACCGTCGAGTATTGTGAGATGCCTTAGATAAACACTGGTTGGCCACCACCTTAGCTACCCGTGGCAATGCACTGTATTAAAGGAGAACTCCGGCGCAAAATGAACCTTTGGTCTAATTACACATTGTTACCTAGTCAACCGTTATCTGAGATTTTTTTTCATGATTGCCGAATGTAAATAGTTTTATCTCTAAAAACAGTTTAGCCTATGACGCTAGTATAACGTTAGTATATAGGCCATAGAGTAATGACAAATAAAAATCACTTGTTATTACCACTAACAAGGCTCAAAATAGCCCCACACTAACACGGTAGCATAATAAGGGTCCCTACATTTAAACCGAAGCATTGAACTTTGTCAGTGTCCATACAGTTTAATAAGAAGATATTTTATAGTCAACTTCACGAATACAGGAAGAAGCCATCTTTGAAGAATAGTCTCTACCAGTCGATCTACAAATGCCGATCCATGTGCGCTGGTGAGATGTGAATAAGCTGATAAGGTGAGCGTGCACAGTAGGCTACGTGTACATATTGAAGGGAAGGAAATGGTTTGTGTTTGTGTTTCTTCCGGAAACAATGGACCATATGAGATTCTGCACAGTTCAGCGCACTTGGATCGGCGTTCATAGATCGACTGGTAGAGACTATTTTTCAAAGATGGCTTCTTCCTGTATTCGTGAAGTTGACTGTAAAATATCTTCTTATTAAACTGTATGGACACTGACAAAGTTCTCAATGCTTCGGTTTGAATGTAGGGACCCTTATTATGCTACCATGTTAGTGTGGGGCTATTTTGTGCCTTTTTAGTGGTAATAACAAGCGATTTTAATTTGTCATTACTCTACTTTGCCCTATATACTAGCGTTATACTAGCGTTATAGGCTAAACTGTTTTTAGAGATAAAACTATTTACATTCGGCAATCATGAAAACAAATCTCAGATAACGGTTGACTAGGTAACAATTTGTAATTAGACCAAAGGTTCATTTTGCGCCGGAGTACTCCTTTAAGAAACGATCTCTGTGGGTGACTTTCGGTTGATGTTGAGAAAAATGCTCAGTCGTTCACTAATTGCAAATTCAGAGTAATTAAACCGTACTATTGAATACTGTTAGATGCCTTACAGATAAACACTGGCTGGCCACCATCCCAACTACCCGTTGTGTGGCCATGCGCTTTAGTATGAAACGATCTCTGTGACTGACTTTCCGTTGATGGTGAGAAAAATGCTCAGTCCTTCACTAATTGCAAATTCAGAGTAATTAAACCGGACGAGATGCCTTACAGATAAACACTGGCTGGCCACCACCCTTGCTACCCGTGGCCACGCGCCAGAGCGCAGGCAGCTGCATTAACATACAGCCTGTGGATCCTCGCGCGTTATTTGGTGTGTGACTGGTTGCAGGCAGAGACCGACGTCGCGCGCGCTCTCTGTCTCACTCCCTCCTCTCTCTCTCTCTCCCTCCCTCCCCTCTCTCTTTCCGCGCTCCAGTCTGAATGAGCACACTCCTCGTCCTGCCACGGGCTTGCGTTCTTGAGGAATTCGTCATCAATGAAAGTGAAAGAAGACTAAATAGGAGAGGAGAATCGCCAGAATGCCGGCAGGTCAGAGGAGACAGACGATTTCTTAATGGGTGAGTTAATCATAAATAACATTTATTCTTTTTTTACGTACGAGAAAACACTGCTGTTTATTTATTTAATTCGTTTTAGATGGATGTAGTCCATATCTTTCTTCTCACTGCGAAATGTCACATATTCTTTTAACAATTGTATTTTTAAAATTAATTTACATATTCGTTTGTAGAAAAAAAAGTAGCCTATTTAAAAAAAAAAAGCCCGATTGAAGTATTCACAGTTACTTATGCCTGAAATCGACTATAAGTTCGGAAAGTGAATGAATTCTTAACGTTTTAAAATGTGGATTTAAGCCATTTCAAGTAATTTAGCTTCTCTTTGTTTGGCTATGATCCTGCGTGCAGGATAATATAACACATCTTGTCAATGCCAAAAGCTTATTTTAATGACCGAATTGCTTGTGATTTTGCTTTTATCGCTATGTAGTTGGAGATGAACCTCAAATATTGGATTGAATGCGCTGTGATGTGTAACAGAACTTTAGTGTTTCCTCTGCGCATCGCTCCACATCTATTACGCATCTTGTTAATCAAGTGATATAAACACAAGTCAAACATTTTCATGAAATAGGGTCAAGTCTTTCCTCAGTTGTTCGCTATTTACTGTCAATGCCAAAGAGTGTAAAATGCGTCTTTGCTCTTAGAAATCCAGTTTTATGAGTCATATTCAGTGATAGAGACAAAATGAGCATTGGTCACGTTCATTGTAGTTGCTGGGGTATATTTGCCTTGATCTAATTAAAATAGTGATATCAATTTAATAAGTGGAATCTCTCTGAGACTAGCAACGAATTTATTACTGCATGTTTTATGTGGTGACATTATGCGACGCGATGTGTCCACATTCCTTCCAATTCCTTATTATGAGTCGGACTTGGAGAGGCGCGCGCCCCCGTGAAAGAGTGAGGACGCGTACAGGTTTGAAAAGTGGACGCTATAATAAGATGAAATGACGCAATACGGCTGACATCATCCGCGCGCAGAGTTGCATGCGTTGTTTCACATTTAGCGTAGTTTAAAATGACATTAAGTCTGTTTTTTGAGAATTAAAGTGAGTTAATTTGCATCATATTGTTTTATAGAAAGGTGTTTCGATTTTTATACTGTTTTAAGACATTTAATTAGTTGCTTCCATGAAGCAATTAAAATTGGCTAGATGAAATATTGTTTTAATCCACATTTTCTTTGCCCTGAGGTCATAATGTAGCCAATATAACCAATAAGGCCTACTTTTCACAGACAGTGGTGGTAGTTTCTACAAGTATTAACATCATACATCAAGCAACACTTATTTTTTATTTTCACTATTTAAAATTGAAACTTGCTGTGAGGTGTTTTTAATAAAATGGCTGATGGTAAATGTGTAATCTTACTGACTACTGTAATCCATCTGTTTTTTTTCTTCCTGATTTGGAAAGTCATAGAAATGCTATTGTGGAATTTTTTTTTTTTTTTTTTTTTTTACTATTGGAACAAATGAAAACCCAACAATCATATTTGCTGAAGTAACCTGTTCACCACTATATAAATTTACCCATCTATGGTGACTTCCGCTTAGGATAACCCCGAAAAGACTTCGAGAAATTATCTACATTTATGTATGGGAATAATATTCCCCGGTTGAGATTTTGTTTTGTCTCATACTCATTCCAGATCATTTATAATACATTTCAGCTCATCTGGAATCAACCTTCATCATTTTCTTTCTTATCTCAATAGTTTATGTATTGAAGTGGACAACTGATCTAGAGTCAGCACCCTGGAGTGAAATTGATGATGCGAGGCTGTGCTGGAGTGTGTTCTGGTGTTCTGGGCTTTGGTTTTATGTTTAATGTTCTACTTCTCTGTGGGGTTTCTCATAAATATGAATCGACTGCCTGGTGCAGGCATTAGGGCTTTGTCTGAGCGGCCATGGACCGTGCTTATTCAGTGTTCTGTCAGGTCTGATTGTACCCAGTGGGAATGGCTCACCACTATGAATGAAACACAGTAGTTTGTAGTAGTTTTGGCTTGATTGTGGTTCGTCTTTTTTTTTAATATAACATTTTGTTTTTGTTGCATTTAAAATGTTTGTTGGCATATCTTTTCAATGCATTTGTTTTTAACATCCAGTGCACATTGATGGTGGGATAAAAAAAATGCCAATTTTTAAACCAATGACCTGAACTGCTCCAGTTTAAATTAATTTGCTGGTGTGACCATCATCATGAGCATTAGAAGATCCTCTGCTTACTTGTTTTGTGATCTTTAATTTCTTTATGTAAAACGAAAGCTGCCCAAACAGGCACCAAACTTGGATAAATACATGCGTGTAGTGCATGGAAACTGCTGTGTGTGTCCACAGGGGAAAATTCCCTTTCTGCCTGTCTGCCTTTTTCTCTCTTTTCCTCTCTGTCAGTCTTTCACACATCCTCCCCATCTCATCTGATCTTGTCTTGGTGTCCTCTCGTACCCATGCCCCCAGATTACAGCCCCGGAGACAATCTACAGAAACAGTCTACCTGTCACAGAGTTTAACCCTTGGGACTAGAGACATCCCAGCATCCCAGGTTCAGTGCCACAGCATGTGGGAGCTTCTCCGGCCGTTTCCCCCTGAGTCTGTCTGTTTTAGGTCAAATACAAGAGATGCCCCATCTGGGCCATCTATTCTTCCTTGGGCAGCATCAGTGCTTTTGATATTCGATTTCAGCATTTTGATATTCTGAGAGGTCATACTTGCCACACTTGTGACTAAACGTAACATTTATTGTTCAAAAGTTTGAGGTCAGTGAGATTTTTTTTTTTTTTTTTTTTTAAGAAATGAATAGGCCTACTTTTATTCTGTAAGGACACATTAAATTGCTCAAAAGTGAAATTTTTGAGTACCAAATCAGCAGAAAGATCATGTGACACTAAATAAGGCTACTGAAAATTCAGTTTTACCACCACCACCAAAAAAAAAAAAATATATATATATATATATTAATATAAAAAATATATTTAAAGTTTGAAATTGTTACAATATTTGATTTAAAAAAATGCTGCCTTGGTGAGCATCAGATACTACTTTCAAAAAACACAAAAAATATTGCCAGACTCAAACTTTTGGTTGAAAGTGTATTTCCCAAGGTTTGGGAGGAGTGGCATGGTGAGCTAATTTTAAATATTTCAAATGAATCTGACAAAGTTGTCAACTCAACTGTGTTCTCGGGAGTTTAGTTCATCGAAGACTTTTGGCTTTCCTCATGAAGGGAACTGACTTACAAAAATAAAACAAATCTAGTGCCAGTTTCTCTTCAGTTGTTCAGTATTCATGAGTGTAGCTATGTCTTTGGCACTGTCACTACACCTCTCTCTTTCCTTTCACATGACTTGACTGGTGGTGAGGTGTTTCTTTGATGAAAACATGCCTTTGCAGCCTGTTTTTAGTTGTTGCACCCTTTAACTGGGATAGTGTCAGCAGTTCAGATGAGAAATTCTGCAAGGATAGCTTATGCAGCATTGGCCTGATATAATATAGCTTATACAGCAATCTGTTTATTATCAAAAGGACAAAAGTGACAACCACATTTACTAGTGGGAGTGAATCTAGTGTTTCTTTTCTGTGATAACTATAGAAATAGATTTTTTTTGCAGGGGTTTCAAATGGGACTGTACTAGACTATCATGTTGAACCTTTTGAAGGTATTAAAGAATAGAGTAACAAAGAGTGAAAAGGCTCACAATCCATGCAGAAAAAGTGCCTCTGCCCCTTGAAGACACATCATGTAATTCTGGGCCTGTATGTATAAAACGTCTAAGAAATGCTCATAAGAATAGTCTTAAGCTTTGACTTAAGTGTCAGAAAATACTTAGTAAAGAGTAGGATTTTTCTAAGAGTAGGAGACTTTTATAAAGCAGCTAAAAGCAACTTTCAGTAAAGCATAAGACTGATTCTTAAGTGCTAAATGAAGTGGGACTCAAGTGCTGTGAACTAAGGACTACAATGATGTGAACCCAAAATGTCCACCCTGAACCTCTGAATCACCCAATAGTGGGCCTGCAAGGATGAGGTCACAGCAGCATGACCCAATTTATTCATTATTTAATTAAGACGTAACAATTATTCCAATGTTTCAATTTATTTCGAATAATTCTTTTTTGCTTTGTGCAAAAAGATTACAAATAAGTACAAGCATTTATTTCACACAATTTCAATAGAGTTTCAACACATTAATTAAATGGACAAATGTAATGCTATTTAAGTAATTAAGCCGATGAATCAAAATTGCACTCACAGCTGTACAGTATATAAAGGAAAGACAAATTTGAAAATTGGTAAATAATGGATGCAAAAAAGAAAACCAAACTGGTCCAAGGAAACGCAGAGTCATTATAACTTTCATTTCTTCAGTTATTGTCTCTTACAGTGGGAGAAGTTGAATTTCTGACTAGGTCAGTAACAAAAATAATACCCTGACGATCAAGCCTGTCTCATTTGATCAACTCTCTGTCATCATATAATTCCAACACATCTTGTTACTCCTAACTAGTTAGGAGACCTCTCCAGCTCTCTTAAATAATTTAGGAGCTGAGACCTAGTCTTAAGAATAAGTGTGATTCATAAAGGTTCCTAAGTGTTAAGTATAAGAATAAGAGTAAAATGACGTCATTCTTAGAATTTTGACACACTTAAGACAAGAAATTTACTCTGAGCGGCTTTATACATACGGGCCCTGATTTTCATGTCTGTCAACATGTTAAGTCCAATCGTGTGAGGAGTCATCATTAAAACATGGTGTTTTGTTGTAGAACCTGTTTTCCCAGCTACTAGGTATCGTTTAGAATATACCTAGGAACATAACAGTTTTCATTGTTTCTTTGTGTTTGCATATTTCCCACACACTGCATCATTCTCTACGCTGATGAATACGCATGATTACATCTATTAGAAAGATCAGTGAAACACATTTCTAATGTCAATGTATGAAAGTAATGAATTAAATGCAAACTGTTTTTCAGTGTTGCTGTGCTCATCA